AGGCTCAATTCCAAAAGATGCCCAGATTCTCAACTGCTGCCTGATAAGGAAAAACGTGAAAAAATATATGAGTTGATAGCTCAGTGAGTGGAGAAGTTCAAAATAAATATACTTTTTCGTTTATACATTTTTATTGAAAATCAAATTCATACCATTTGATAATTCACAAGCTACCATCATATAATTATAGCCAAAAAGTGAAATATTCACATAATTTCATAAAAATATCATCTTAAAATCATGATATAACATTAGCTGATAACCATGTTATAATCTCATCACATCAAACGTGATGAAAAATCCACCAAAAATGTAACCTCTGACTGAAATATGAAATCCGCCTCTCGGGCTAAGAACTTTCGCCACGGGCCTTTCGTCCCTCCGTGAATGAAAGTCGGTCTCAAAAACCTCTCAAAATCAATTCTAAAACACGGTCAAGGCCCCTCAGTGAACTATATGTACACGGTCGAGACCCCTTCATCTCCGGTCCATGACCCCTCAGTGTAGTATAGAACACGGCCAAAGCCCCTCAGTGAACTAGAAGAAATATATAATCACGGGTACTTTTCTGGTCGATCTCAAAATCATATCTCATATTCCAATTTACAATGTACCGTATACAATCTTTAAAATCCGCATGTATCATAATAAAAGATATTTCCAAAATAACCATATAATTCGAACACATAATTGCATATAATTGCACATACTTTAACAATATACTTAATTTATAAATACTTTAAAAATATTTATATTTTTCCACTCACAGAACTATATACGCCAAAATCAGTTCGATTGATACGCTGTCCCGATATCTGTATCTCCGCCTGAAATATAATATAATTTTTAAATCAACAATTAACTAATTTAAGAAATTTCATTAATTAAATAGACGATACCCAAACTTAATTATTTCACATTTAGGCGATTTCTAACGTCTCTTTAATTACTAAAATTAATTTTTCTTTCATTTTACTCAATTTCATAATTTATTACACTTACCCCTTCAATAAAATTAAATTTAGCCTAACTATCTAACAACTATAAAATCAAACATAACTTAACAATAAGTAACTTTTTACTTACCTTTCAAAATTGAGAAATTCAAGCCTAATATGATAGAGCACTTAATTCCTAACACATTAGCAAATTTTTCCTTTTTTTCTTCTTCTTTTTCTTCCTCTTTTCTTTTTTTCCCCCTCTTTTCCTTTCTCTTTTTCTCTCTTCTTCTTCTCTGTGCCATTTCCTATTCGTTTCCTATTTGTGTGTATATTTTACTTAGGTTTTAGGTTGTGAATATATATATATATATATATACACACCCATAAATTCAATTGGAATGATATGTCTTGGCATCCACCGCCTGCCGCTTTGTCTTTTGTCATTTTTTTTTAAGTTTGATTTTTCTTTTGAATTAATTAAAGTATTACAAAACTCACTCCCCTAAAAGAATTTTGTCCTTGAAATTCGATTAACTAAGTGCGAAAAATCTGGGGATACTGAGAACGCATCTGCTCTTCACTTTCCCATGTTGCTTCTTCTATAGCATGATTTCTCCACAAGACTTTAACTAAAAGAATAGTCTTACTACGCAAAACCTGTTCCTTCCTATCCAATATCTGAACTGGTTCTTCTTCATAGGTAAGATTTTCCTTCAGTTCTACTGGTTGTAATTCCAAAACATGAGATGGATCTGGAATATACTTACGAAGCATAGAAACATGGAATACATCATGACTTCTAGACAATTCTGTTGGCAAAGCCAATCGATACGCAACTGGACCGATGCGTTCAACAATCTCATATGGGCCAATATACCTCGGACTCAATTTACCTCCTTTACCAAATCTGATAACACCTTTCCATGACAACAATCCCAGGAAAACTCTATCTCCAACATCAAATTTGAGGTTTCTTCTGTGCCTATTTGCATAGTTCTTCTGTCTATCTTGGGCTGTCTTTAACTTTTCTTTAATTACCTTTACTTTCTCAGTAGTAATCTGGACATATTCGGGACCCAATAACTTTCTTTTACCAACTTCATCCCAACATACTGGAGTTCGGCATTCTCTACCATAGAGCGCTTCAAAAGGAGCCATTTCCATACTCGAATGATAACTGTTATTATAAGCAAACTCCATCAAAGAAAGATGAGTATCCCAATTCCCTTTGAACTATAGTACACAAACTCGTTACATGTCTTCCAGAGTTTGAATAGTTCTTTCTGACTGACCATCTATTTGTGGATGAAAAGCTGTACTAAAATGAAGTTTAGTACCCATAGCTTTCTACAAACTAGGCCAAAATTTAGAAGTGAAACGGGAATCTCTATCTGAAACAATAGATACTGGTGCCCCATACAAACTGATTATCTCATCAACATATATTGTTGCCAATTTATCTAGCGAGTAGGTAACTTTAATAGGCAAGAATCTGGCATTCTTTGTCAATCTGTCTACAATAACCCATATGCCGTCATGTGCACTCTGAGTCTGTGGAAGTCCAAATAGAAAATCCATAGTAATGTGTTCCCGTTTTCACTCAGGAATAGGCAACGTTTGTAACAATCCTGCTGTTTTCTGACGATCTGGTTTCACTTGCTGGCAAATGAGACATCTGGATACAAACTCAGCTATTTCTCTCTTCATTCCATGCTACCAATAGTGTTCTTTGAGTACAGGATACATTTTTGTACTACCTGGATGTATCGCGTAAGCTGAACTATGTGCCTTTTCTAGAATTTCTCCCTTCAATTTTGAATCATCTGGAACACATAATCTGTTTCCCATAACTAAAGCTCCGTCATCTCGAATGGTATAATCTGTATGTTTACCTTTACTAACTTCTTCTTTCAATTTGTTCAACATTGGATCTTGAGTTTGAGTTTCTCTAACTGTGTCAATCAAAGTAGGCCTCACTTGGAAGTTAGCAAACAATGCTCCTACACTGGTAACTGATAATTGAGCATGAAAAGCTCTGAACTCACCAAACAACGATGAAAATACTGCATTAGTCTGGTTCATAGGACTCGAGATTTTTCGACTAATAGCATCAGCAACTGCATTAGCTTTCCCTGGATGATAATCAATCTTGCAGTCGTAATCTTTTATCAGTTCTAACCATCTTCTTTGCCTCAGGTTTAACTCTTTCTGATCGAAAATATGCTTTAAGCTTTTATGATTTGTATAAATCTGGCATCTCTCACCATACAAGTAATGTCTCCAAATTTTCAAGGCTAGAACAACTGCAGCTAGCTCTAAGTCATGTGTAGGATAACTCAGTTCGTGTTTCTTCAACTGCCTGGAAGCATATGCTATAACTTTTCCATTCTGCATCAAAACACAACCAAGACCCTGACGTGAATCATCACTATATACCACAAACTCTTCACCGGGAGATGGAAGGGTAAGAATCGGAGCTGACACTAATCTATTCTTCAATTCGAGGAAACTTCTTTCACAATTTTCATTCCAAACAAAGTTAGCATTCTTTCTAGTTAAACTAGTCAAAGGAAGAGCAATTTTAGAAAATCCCTTTACAAAACGACGATAATAACCTGCTAAGCCAAGAAAACTTCGTATTTCTGTCACATTAGTAGGTCTTTCCCATTTTACCACTGCCTCTGTTTTCTGCGGGTCAACGTAAATTCCTTCTTCTGATATTACATGTCCCAAAAATACAACTTTATCAAGCCAGAATTCACATTTACCGAATTTAGCATACAACTACTCATCACGTAGAGTCTGCAAAATGATTCTGAGATGCTCTGTATGCTCATCATGATCTCGAGAGTATATTAAAATATCATCAATGAATACAATTACAAATCTGTCTAAATACGGGCGAAACACTCTATTCATCATATCCATAAATGCTGCTGGTGCGTCGGTCAACCCAAATGGCATCACAAGAAATTCAAAATGACCATATCTTGTCCTAAAAGCAGTTTTTGGCACATCCCTGTCCCTGATTTTAAGTTGATGATATCCAGAACGTAAATCAATCTTTGAAAATATTGCAGCATCTCGAAGCTGATCAAACAGATCATCAATATGTGGCAAAGGATATTTATTGCGAATTGTCACTTTGTTCAATTGTCTGTAATCTATGCACAGTCGCATGGTGCCATCTTTCTTTTTTACAAACAAAATTGGTGCTCTCCACGGAGATATACTAGGTCTGATGAAACCCTTGTCTACCAACTCTTGCAACTGAACCTTTAGCTCTTTCAATTCTGCTGGTGCCATTCTATAGGGTGCCCGTGAAATAGGTGCAGTTCCTGGAATCAGATCTATAGTGAACTCCATATCTCTATCTGATGGTAAGCCTGGTAATTCTTCAAGAAAGACCTTGACCATTGGGATATCTTCAAGTTTTAGTTTGTTAATATCTGTATCAATTACATGAGCCAAATATGCATAGCAGCCCTTGTTGAGTAATCTTCTAGCGTCAATAGCAGATATCATACAAGATGGCAAAATTCTGCGCTGTCCATTGAATATAACTTTAGGCTGTCCTGGTTGCCTGAACGCAACCTCCTTTCAAAAACAATCAACTGAAGCTCGATTTGTTGCCAAAAAGTCCATATCCAAAATAATATCGAAATCATGTATGTCAAGAGGTATTAAATTTGCCTTCAACTCATTTTCCTTTACCTTAATCCCACAATCTCGATATATATTATTTGCTAATAGTGATTCTCCTACTGGTGTACTGACTACCAAACAACTGCCTAAAAGTTCTGGCTTTTGATTCGCATATAAAGCAAATGCAAATGATATAAAAGAATGTGTAGATCTAGGATCAATCAAAATATGAGCATTTCTATCAAAAATAGACAACATACCCATGATAACATTTGGTGACTCCTCTGCCGCCTGCTGAGTCATAGCAAAAACTTTTCCCTAGGTCTTCGGTCGTCCTGCCTGCCCTTTTGATTTTGTACCACTACCACTTGTGATATTAGACTGGGCCACACTATTTGCACTTGTTCTATTAACTTAATCATCTCTCCGAGTCTGATTCTGTCTTGTACTACCAGCACTCTGCTGAGGAAATATCTTCGGTACCATACCACTCTCCTGTGATAGAACTGGACAATTTCTTCTGATATGTCCTCCTTGATCACAATGATAATAGACTCCGCTTCCTTTGAACTTTAAACACGTGCTGAGATGAGGTCTTCTACATAATTGACAATAAGGTAGTCTAGTACTAGTAAAACTCTCGCCCTGTCTCGGAGTAGATAATCTCTGGGAAGAACCCTGAGTATAAGTACGACTGGCCACTGGCTGCTATACGGTACTAGGACTGAATCTAGGGCCCGGACTTCCTCGTGATCGAGATTTAAATTGACTTAAACTGGACACACCAGGTCGAAATCCTCTACTGTCTCTCCGTGGTGGTCTATAGCTAGAAGCACTTGCCATTGTTTGACTACTGCTTGCTTTGAACATTGTTTGTTCTCTACCACTTGGCCTATCAAAAATGCTCTTTTCTACTCTCAAACTGATTCCATCAATTTTCCAAATACATTCCAGCCTGCAGCTGTTACTACTAATCGGATTTCTTCCCTTGACCCATTTTCAAATCGTCTACATTTATCAATTTCGTTGCTTACCAGAACTTGGGCATACTTTGAAAGTTCAATAAATCTCACCTGATATTCTGCAACTGTCATCTGCCCTTGTACTAGTTTCAAAAATTCCTTTTGCTTTGCATCTTTATAGGACTGAGGGTAATAGGGATCATAAAAGAGACGTCTGAATTCTGTCCAAGTGATGGAAGGGTCTGGTTATGTGCTTCGTACCGATTGCCACCAATCGTATGCACCTTCCTCTAATAAGAAAGTGGCGAGACACAACATCCTCTCGTCTAAGCAACCCATAACATCAAATACTCTCTCTATATTAGTCATCCATGCCTGTGCAACTGCAGGATCGACTGTGCCAGTGAACACTTTAGCCCCTAACTTTGTAGCCCTTTCAATACTGAAATCTCTGTCAGTATTACGCATAGCAGATACAACGGCAATAGCAATTCTTTCAACAGCAATAGGATCAGTTCCAGTCACATTTCCCTGTCCCCGTTGTTCAGAAGGTTGGTGAACGGATTCATCTACTCTCTCAGGCTCTCTCAATTCATCTCTATCAGGAGCAATGTGAGACTGGGGCAACATATCTTGGAGCCTTCGAGTTTTGCCATCACGAGGTATGACTCACCTACAATTATGCATGATATGTTAAATATCAGAATGTATGCATGTACAATGCAAACCCATGAACTCTAATGCATGCTCTGATACCAAACTGACACAGCCCGCCCCGTGTAACACCACTAGATCCGGATGTGGTATGCGCCGATGATAGATACCAACTAAAAGTCGAACCCACCATCAAGGCTACTACAAATACAATATATCACTTTTTATACATTATTTTTCTAACAAAATTTTGGTATTATCTCCTCTGTAAACAGGATTGACCAACCTGTGATCAATTTCACACAAATCCCAAACTATAGCACATCACAATAAAGATAAGCCGAAATCTCCACTTTTATCAAGAAATACAATGAAATATACATATGGATACATAATACATAGTGAGCCCCATAACTAACTACAAATGATGCAAAATCACATCTAAACATGAACATGCGTCCCAAAACACTGACTACATGTTCTATGAAGTGAGTCATACTAACAAATTCTGTCGTGTGGCTCCAACTCCAAAATCAAGGCTCAGCTCCAAAAGATACCCAAATTCTCAACTGCTGCCTGATAAGGAAAAATGTGGAAAAATATATGAGTTGATACCTCAGTGAGTGGAGAGGTTCAAAATAAATATACTTTTTCGTTTATACATTTTTATTGAAAATCAAATTCATACCATTTGATAATTCACAAGCTACCATCATATAATTATAGCCAAAAAGTGAAATATTCACATAATTTCATAAAAATGTCATCTTAAAATCATGATGTAACATCAGCTGATAACCATGTTATAATCTCATCACATCAAACGTGCTGAAAAATCCACCAAAAATGTACCCTCTGACTGAAATATGTAATCCGCCTCTCGGGCTAAGAACTTTCGCCACGGGCCTTTGACCCCTCCGTGAACAAAAGTCGGTCTCAAAGACCTTTCAAAATCAATTCTCGAACACGGCCAAGGCCCCTCAGTGAACTATATGTACACGGTTGAGACCCCTTCATCCCCGGTCCATGACCCCTCAGTGTAGTATAGAACACGGCCAAGGCCCCTTAGTGAACTAGAAGAAATATATAATCACGGGTACTTTTCTGGTCGATCTCAAATTCATATCTCATATTCCAATTCACAATATACCGTATACAATCTTTAAAATCCACATGTATCATAATAAAAGATTTTCCATAATAACCATTTAATTCGAACACATAATTGCATATAATTGCACATGCTTTAACAATATACTTAATTTATAAATATTTTAAAAATATTTATATTTTTCCACTCACAGAACTATGTACGCCAAAATCAGTTCGATTGATACGCTGTCCTGATATCCGTATCGTCGCCTGAAATATAATATAATTTTTAAATCAACAATTAACTAATTTAAGAAATTTCATTAATTAAATAGACGATACCCAAACTTAATTATTTCACGTTTAGGCTATTTCTAACGTCTCTTTAATTACTAAAATTAATTTTTCTTTCATTTTACTCAATTTCATAGTTTATTACACTTAACCCCTTCAATAAAATTAAATTTAGCCTAACTATCTAACAACTATAAAATCAAACATAACTTAACAATAAGTAACTTTTTACTTATCTTTCAAAATTGAGAAATTCAAGTCTAATAGGATAGAGCACTTAATTCCTAGCACATTAGCAAATTTTCCCTTTTTTTTCTTCTTCTTTTTCTTCCTCTTTTTTTTTTTTCCCTCTTTTCCTTTCTCTTTTTCTCTCTTCTTCTTCTCTGTGCCGTTTCCTATTCGTTTTCTATTTGTGTGTATATTTTACTTGGGTTTTAGGTTGTGAATATATATATATATATATATATATATATATATATATAGACACACGCACACACACATAAATTCAATTGGAATGATATGTTTTGGCATCCACCACCTGCCGCTTTGTCTTTTGTCATTTTTTTTTTAAGTTTGACTTTTCTTTTGAATTAATTAAAGTATTACACTATAAATAGTAGACAAACCCTACACTAAACTAATCCTCAACAACTATTTACACACTCTCCTTCTCTATCTCTATAACTTTGTGTCTCCACCTCCTCTCTTTCTCTTGTCATTTTTTTATTAAATATAGTCGTACACTTATATAATCATACATAAATAATCAACCCCACACGCTGCTCAAGGATCTCTTTCTAACAATAATTCGTTTTATCATTTTGAATTTGTCTAGTGAAAAGGTAAGTTATGCTTTATGTTTATGGTTCTTAATGTTTATGTATGCAATATTTCTATGGCTATGTTATGTTTGTTCCATGTTATGTATGTTTTATTAAGAATGCACAAGAGTTTAGTTGCACTACATATGAGAATTTAGCCCCATATAAGTTCAGTCTAATTTTCGTGTCTCTCTATGCAACTTATGAATTTTTCATAGAAATACATATATGAATTCATTATCCATGCATGCTTATCGAGACTATTTTCAACCCATTATGTCTCTACTTTCAAGTAATTGACATTCGAGTCAGTCGGCACGATGATGGCTTATGGTGGCAAAAGTTTCAATAATAAAACTATTAGCTATAAAACTATTATTATTTCATTTAATTTTAAATATTTTAAAATATTTCTTATTTCAATTTAGTTTATTAAACTCATTACTTTATTTTAATTTTGGTAAGTGCTTTAATTATTAATACAATTGTGTTGAATATTTTAATTTAGTTTTAGTCTATGATTTAGTGACACTCAAATCGTTAAAGATTCGGGTCATCACACGAAGTGCACAAAAGTTATCTAGATTGAGTTGACGAAACCATACAAATGTAAATTTTTATTTCACAATATCAAATTTAGTCATAGAATTAAAACACATTTGTAGAGACTGAAATTCCCATACTGGTTTAGTGATGGACATTGGTTTTATATTTTTGTTTATATAAAAATAAAAAATAAAATAGAACTTACGGGAAATTTTAGTGACAACAAATTGTTTTCTAGAGAATCATCGTTAATACACCAAAAAGTTAATTTAAAAATTCTAATCATGACCTAGATTGATGGATCACGTGTGGTAAATTTTGATTAATAACCTTAAAAATAATAAAATGGGTAATGAAAATTATCGATAGCATATGTCTAAGACAAATGTCTGAGAGAATGAATAAATATAGGACTTATATGATCCGTACATAAAACTATTTAAAAAATGAGAAAAAATATTATATTACCAGCATACCTTTGTCGCAATCTAGTAATCTATTTTCGTAGAAAAATATGTTACCAATTTCTGTTCTCCAAATCTTCTAATCCAGCGGAATGATGTCTCCAGTAACAACAACAATGACATAAAAGTGTTTTTGCCAATACATATACGTATAAACTAGTGTAAATATATTTGTATGGTTTTAATGTGATTAATTTATACCTAATTAATATGCAAAAGTAAAATTTAGATAAGATTATTTAAATTGTAATTATGATCATTGTAATAATTCTCAAAATTTTAAATTTCAGATTCTGTTATTTTAAATTAAATGACATAATTATATTTGTAGCATCATGAATATTTGTTGTATTCAGTAAATAATTATGAATTTTTACTATTAATTGTACTCAAAATCAACTTGAAACCTGAAGATCAAACTTTAAAGTTCGTGCTTGGATAAAATTAGAACTCTAATTCAGTTCCTCCAAAAAATTATTTTCGGAAAATTCCTAGCAATGTCATTAGCTGAAAATTCTAGATGCACTATTTTACTACCCCTACTAAAGAAAAGTCCTATCAACATCGTCTGCTAAACGCACAAGACTCCATGCGAAATTGTGTTCTATTTACAGAATCGCTAATTCAAGGTAAAGTAGGAGGTTAAGAGGTAACCTTCTTCAATGGGAAATACCAGAGATATTAACTTGACTTGTCCAAGTAATTTTCTTGATGATATTTAATGGTCAACTTGAATAGTCATAGGTACATCTACAGAATAAATCAAAAGGTCCAATTTATTTTATTCCATAACGAACCTGATAGTTTCACATTATTATTAAATAATTACTAATAATTTTAACTATTTTTTACGTTATTTGTTTGATAATTTACAAATTTATTTTATCAAATGACAACACAAGTTAACCGAATAAACATTTTTCTATTGAACACTGGATTCAAGCAATTATTGAGTCAATATTTCCAATAAAAAAATTGATGATAAACATGGGGCAAAGTTAATTAGAAGATGAGTGCATAGATAAAAGAAGCAAACCATTTTTTTTATTGAGATCAATGAATCCTGTTGCTATTGAGGTAGCTCCGAGTTCAAGTTTTGAACTGATTTACACAAATATTATTAATGTGTGCCTCGAAGAATTATTTAATCTACCAAGACATTGAATATTTTCTTCTCAGTTGGATAGTTTAATAATAAAAATAACCATGTAAAAATAAATGAGAAATCTCTATAATACACATTTGCATACTATAATTTTCTTTCCTCACAAGATGATTATAAATACTGTATACTTTATTGGTGTTCTGTTGAAAATCGATAGTCAATCTCATTGCATCCCAAACAAGCATGAAACTTATGCTTGCATATTCGTCGATAGGTCAAACTGGATATGTAATTATTGGAATAATTGTTGGAGATTCAAACGATGGATATGCAAGTATGATAACTTATATGTTGTTCTATATATTTTGACAAATTCAAGGTGAAAAATGGGATTGCACCCTTGGCAAAACTTGGATAAAGTTGAGCCAAAAGTTCTCGATGAAGTACAGGTTGAACAGTGAAAGTATTGTCATTAACCCAGCATAGAAGATAGCTTGGTTCCAATTAAAAAAATAAATACATAAATTAATTTTTATAGCTGAAACTGAAGTGTATTAAACAAATTTTATTCCAGTTGTTTGTACATTCAATTACAGACATAGCAACGAAATTTTCAACGACTATTATTCTTAAAAGCAGATTCAAAGTACACAA